GCTTCCATTTCTGCCTAGTTTGACTGGGGTAGGTTCAGTGCATCCTTTAAGACTGTCTTGTGAAACCTCCCAGAAACACCTTGCCCACGCAGCCCGGTGAGGCTGAGGCACTCACCAGGTGCCTACATTCATGGCACCACTGAGATTTATGCTGTTAGCTTCCTAGGAGCCTTGACTGGCATAAATACACGCTGGGGGGCTCACAGATGCCTTCTGGCTGTGTCTGAGAACAGAAAGCACTCTGCGTATTAGCAATGGACTAGGTTATGTGGCTGAATACCTCTGACTTTCTTTGTTTTCCTTCTGGCTGACTATTCCAGCCAGCATTTGCACTTCCTATTTTTTTTCAGTTGAGAAACACAACAGAGCTGCTTGAATTAATTTGAGATGTTTGCTAGAACTCTGATACCGATTTAATGACGTGAAAGCTGCAGAGCTTGTGCTATCTTTCGTTTGGAAACTCACAGTTGTGTGGGCAGTGACCTTTTCATATCGGGTGTGTGCTTATCTACCTTTGGGCATGAGTGGTTTATTTTTCTATCTTGGATAATACTATTTTGTACTCTTCCCCCGCCTCCACCCGCGATCTACTTTCCTGTGTTTTGTTTGCCTGTTTCATACATTAAAGCTCTCCAGGAACTTTTTCTTGCCATTCAGAAATCTTTTCCAACTAAAATAATTAAATTGAGTCCTCAATTAGCCTAGATTTTATCACATTTCTGCCTGTATTTTTTGCAAAAGCCCTTTCAAAAGATGACTTTTTTTCCTTCCTTTGCCCATGTGTCTTTATTTTACCTCTCCTCATTCCACACACAAGCATGCCTTTGCACTAGTTTGTTTAAATCTCAGTCTTTTCTAGCCAAATCTGCAAGGCACATGGGAATTCTTTATGTGAAAGACGCTCTACGTGACAGAGCTGCTGATGCCCTCTGCCTAGCAGCTTTACTGGGAGAGCAAAGCCTTGACCTAGTTAGTGTTGGGCTGCAACAGTGTTCCCTTGTTTTCATTTACACTAGCCAGAGAAATAGCTTTTGCTGTTGAGGAAATAAAGAGTATGCGTTCAGGAAATGAAGAGTATGGAGGTCTCTGCTGTGAAAGCAGCTTTGCTCCCTTCAAGAGTAAGAAGTTAAACATATTTTAAGTAATATATTTTAAGTAATAACAACACAGAATTTTATCAAGGTTAGTACTACAGCCCTGTAGTTCTTCCAACCTAAGGGTTGGAATAGCTAATTCAACACTGGGTAAGGCTTCCTGGGTGCTGGGATGCAATGAGGCATTCTCTGATCCTCCTCAGCAGCCTTTATTGTCAAGACTTGCTCTGTGGTTGCATCTGTATTGAAAATGCTGTTAACTTCTACAGGTTTCCAAGTCTTTGTGCACGTCTTGGTCATATTCTATTTCTAGGCTCAGACTCAAGACCCAGACACATAGGAGCTCTCTCTGCCCTAGAGTCCATGAAAAATAATAGTGATACGCCCCACAAGTACTCAGCTGGGGCAGTGAGGGGAACTGAGACCCCAAGCTAAGTACCCGGAGACAAGTATAGACCTTAGTAGAGTAAGGATGGAGGTTGTAGAATTAGTCTGATATCATTAAGGGTGCGGCTCACTTGCACTGCCAAAAACTCTGCTTTCTCATCAGGATAAAGCAGTAAATGTGAAAGTATCGCCAGTGCCCTAAGAAGAGAGGTGGCCAGAGCGCAGCCAGAAGTGCTGTATGCAGCAACATCTCAGGGCCAGCTCCTTTCTTTCACTTTTGTGTGAAGCACGAACTTGAGGCTGGGACTGCTGTGCTTCAGCAGATCCAAAGGAGGAGCTGAATGGCTCAAGCGAAGCATCAGGGCAGGATGAGACACGGTCCCTGGGCCAGCTCTCAATTCTCCCTTTTTAATGCAAATTGTCACGCTTCTCCCATTGCTGGGCTGGTTTCCTGGTGGGCTGAAAGGTCCTGTCTAGAAGCCTTGTCACTGAACTGTGCTGCTGGGAATGAGAAAATATGAAGGGTCTTGGCAATAATGTACTCAGTACCCAAGGTTGTTCTTTTCTTCTTGTTTTTCTTTCCCCAGTATCTCATCTTAAAATCGGTATGGGAAAACATGAGAAATACAAATCAGTGGCTTCTTGTAGCAAGAAACCAAGTTCTGTCTTTTCTATTCAGTGTGAGAAGTTCTCCAAGAGCAACTTCGTTAAAAAAACAAATAAAGTTTTTGCAGAAATACTGCTTACTCTACTGATTACACGACCTGGCTCCATCTAATCCTGAAAAGACTCATCATCCCTGATAACGGGCTAATGTACTTTCTAACATTGTGCCAGTATTGCGCAGT